GTGGTAGCACGGGACAGGTTTTTCCCGTATAGCGTTAGGAGTCTGCGGGCGATAGTTCCGACGTTCATAGTAGAGAGCGTCTTTGGAGGTATTGGTGGAGTGGTCGAGACATACCTAGCCTATCAGGATCTCAAGATCCTGGCGAGAAGACCTGCCGACCTCGACTACATCTATTATTCGCTCGCGACCGGTGGGCCTCGTTGGGGTGATGAGAGGGTTCAGCTTATAGAGCTGATCCGTTCGATAGACGACGAGTGGCCCCAGTCTCCGTGCGTTTGGGATTGGCTAGACTGTGAGCTCCGAGCAGGCCCCGAGTACGTGACCTACATCGGGTGACTTTTCTACGACGACTGGGGGAGCTGGTGGAGTGAGGACGCTGGGCGACCTCTGATACACGGCCATCAGTTGGCGGAGTACTACCAGGCTATAGGACAGGCACCATACCGCGTGGAGGACGAGTTTGACGACGAGGGTTGGGAGCGAGAGGACGACGAGGACGCCTGGGAGCCAGATTGGGTCGACCCAGAGGGTGAGGTTGACGAGGAGGAGATCGACGTTACGGACGCCCACTTTCCCAAGATAGGAGTAGCAGTTCGGGCATAGGAGCGGGCTTAGCGTCAGATATCGGCCGATAGCGGAGAGCGGATCGATGGTAGAGCAGGCCAGCGGGGTGGAGCTTGAGATCGACGACGCCAGATGGCCTAGACCCCCAGAGATAGTAGCACCAGGTAGGGTGGCGCTAGATCTGCCGTCCAGAGGGGTTTCTGCCGATGCGATAGAGAGTCGATGGTCATCGACGGTGCTGGCCTCAGAGGTACACTTGTGGTCGTACGTCATCGAGACATTCGAGCCGGACAGTCAGGGGTGGCGACGACCAGGCACGACTAGTATAGAGGTAGTGGGGCACATTTACTACTCGCCGGAGGTGCTAGCTACGGTCTATTATCACGGCCTCGTACACGATCATTGGCGAGAGGAGCAGACCGCGAGGGCGATCTTACTGGCTAGAGCGGACTCCGCGCGCGGCGAGGTAGAACGGTTGCACGGGGGTGTTCGAAGAGTGACGACGACCTTCAGGATTGGAGGACACTTCCCATATCCCAGCAGTCCACTCCGTGTGACACTTCCGTGCTTCGTGGCAGAGGAGCTTTGGGGACTTAGGCGTTTGGGTGAGATCTATTTTGCGGCTCTTGACTTGGACGGCCTCTGCCGAGGGTACACTGACAGGGATTGGGTGTTGTATGCGCAGTTTGTAGCAGGGCCGCTTGTAGGCGAGCGAGGACTCCCGCTGATTGAGTTCCTACGGGCCATTGTTCCTACCGGGAGCCCTGACCTATACTCTCTATACCAGCCCCTAGCCTTCTGGACGGCACTAGAGAGAGAGGCTCGGAGGCCTACAGATCATTTAGCTGGAGTAGGACAGCTGTTAGCCGAGACTCGTGAGGAGAGGCCGGGCCATCTCATCTTGATCGGGGAGGTTGAGGAGTATTACCGATAGGTATATCCAGAGGCAGACGATCTTGCATGGTACGCTGAAGATCGGGATTGGGAGGAGTTCGATGACATAGACCCTTGGGGTGACCAGGACGAGGGCTGGGGAGCTCTAGCGCGGGCCGAGGGACAGGAGGAGGTAGGTGGAGAGGCGCCGCAGGAGGACGGCTGGGGACATCTCCTTCAGGCCGAGGGACAGGAGGAAATCCCATGGGGGCAGAGGGTAGATGAGGACACAAATGAAGATATGCCAGATGCATGAGACGACAAGAGGCAGGGCATATCCGAGTGAAGTTCAAATAAAAGAGTAGTGGAGAGACGATGAGCAGATATTGTTAGGCGAGGCGAGACTGGCAGCAAGAGCAGGAAAGGATGGCAGACAAGGATATACTGAGAGTGACGCTTTCCCTACGACGGGATAGGACAGGAGGCTGGGAAGATGAAGTGTTGGGCAATGTTGAGCGACAGATCAGACTCATGACGGAGCATGCCCTGGAGATACGGAGAGGCCAGAGGTACGTCGAGTTCACTATCTACTTCCATGGAGCAGACGGGAGAGTGCACAACACCTACTCGGCCATGATGGACCTGAGTGGGAGAGTTGTCTGAGGGGTTAGCGACATCATGAGATAGGGAACGTCGAAGGGAGTAGAGTAATACAGATCGGGAACCGAAGGGGAGATGAGGAGTGACTCAGTAGTCTGGTTAGCTTATGTTCTCTCACGAGAGTCCGAATCCTATAGCGTGAGGAAACTAGTGAGACCCAGAGAGACGGCGGTTGGATACGACATTCCTCTTCCTGTGGCGTTAGAGGGGACAGGGCGTGTTCCGTTACGATACCTGGGAACGTGGCTCGCAGAGGGACTCTTCCTTTGGACAGTGATATTGAGAGATGGACGACCCGAGAGGACTCATGACCTAGAAGGGGTCGGACATCTGATAGCGGATAGAGCACACGATTTAGAGGTAGGACTGACGCTCGCAGGGGTCAGCAGGGCTTCGTGGAGAAGTGAGCTGTTGGCCAGAGTGATCGTAAATCAGCAACTGGCGAGGCTCTCTGGAGGGAGGACGTATTGGAGCCGCTTGGTATACGGTCTTCCGCACCCGACCCTCTATCCGAGAGAGGATTGGCGATTCGGACTTCCTGCCTTCGTTATAGGGCAGACCTATGGCAGCGTGGATCGTTTGAGGAGAGCAGTGGATCACACACTTTACGCGCTCTGGGAGGGATTAGCGCCCCGTTTCAGGGAAGTATACTACGCCATTTGTGTGAGGTGGGGACCGCCCAGCAGAGAGACGCTTGACGACATCATAAACGTTACTTGCTGGGTGGACTGTCTGAGGCCAGTTGATCTGATTAGGTACTGCAGGAGACGGGCGGAGGTTGATTACGTGGGGCTAGAGGATGTGAGGTTTGTCTTCGAGGCCGCAGCTTAGGGAATGCCGGGGAGGACGGCCACCGTGATGCGTGTAGGAGAGCAACTGGTAAGCACAGGGTACACTGTGACAGTACTTCTCCGAGCATACGTAGATCAGGACTTGACGGCGAGGGAGTGCCGACAACGAGCCAGGGATTTGCTCCACGAGCATAAAGCCGATGTAATGGCGCGGGTGACCTTCCAGACCTCGATTTCCTATAAGGTGATGATATGGTCACATGGTTATATGCGTGCGGAACACTTCCACGACGAGACGGTAGCGGAGGCTAGAGCGAGGGTGAGAGGATGAGCTGGAAAGAGATGAGGAATGAGTATGGAAGAGGAGAGTGAGGCAGTCGAAAGAGTGAGAAAGCGTATTAAAGAGCCACTCTTGAACCAGGTAAAGGAGTTGGGGAACAAGTTAAGGGAGATCTGGTCGTGCTAGGATGAGGGCAAGTTGCGTAGGGCTGAGCTCGTGACGAGAGAGTTAGAGAGTTTGTTTAGGGAGGAAAGAGAGATTATCCAGGCGTGGAGATCAGACTTTCTGGAGAGGGTAAAGGCTAGGAGCGTATCACGCGAAGGAACTAGGGAGAGGTATGCAAAGGGCGAGACAACGGAGGACAAGGTAACGCAGGGAGGTAGCGACAGGACATGAGCGGAACTGCGCTACACACGAAGGATCGGTACTCATTGCATGTGGTAGGGACACTGGACGGACCGTTGGTGTTAGTGATCGTAGAGCTCCAACTCCATACCAGACTGTGTCCGCCGTGCGCTGCGTGAGGCTAGGGGGACAGGACTTTGGATCGGAGTGGAAGGAGGACGAAGGATTAAATACGTACTTCGAGTAACACCATTCGAAGGGCGGTCTCTGATAAGGGCATGGTACGAGACGACCAGAGAGGCTGAGAGGTTGAAGATAAGCGAAGCCAGGAAGGCTGGAGAGCTGGGGAGAGTTATAGCAGATGGTGCAATACTCAGGGTGCTAGCCGCTCACGATCGGTACTGGAGGGAATCAATAAAGACTTTAGAGGCCATAAAGGATAGTGGAGATGAAGAGGATTTTGAGGCGTTCTATGATATATTGGAGTTGTCGGCAGTGAAACTACGAGCGGTTGTAGCACTGGCTACCCTCAGATGTTAAACAGGTGACCTCAAGGAGGACAGAGATAGACGCTCGGAGGCTCTTGAGGGGTGCTGATCAGGAGACACTGGTTAGGCTTGGGACCGCGATCTGCCGCAGGAGTAGAGATCCTGTCACGGGTGTACTGCAGATCCGGAGAGGCGCAACCTTGTTGACCGATCCCGAAGGAGAGGTTTACCTAGACACAGGGATTCTTGGGGTAGAAGGAGAGCACGAGATCCGCGACCGGAACCGAGTACTGGTGGTGGTGATCAGGGCAGTCGAGAGCTAGGGTTGGTGACGAGCGTGAACCGTGACAAGGAAACTGGTCCGGGCTACGAGTTCTGTCACAGGTCCGGGCTGCGAGTTCTGTCACAGGTCCGAGCTGCAACAACTATCATAGGTCCGGGCTGTAACACCCGGCGAGAGTGCCTAACTGCGTCTTCAAGTGGCCTATGGAACCAGACGCGATGGGGCCACAACCAACCACGGGTGAAGTGGGGGAGGGGTACAGGACATCGCCCGATCGAGCTCTGAGAGATCTGAAGGAACGAATTAGGCGGGAAGCACCGCTAAGTTGGGCTGACCAAGCCAATGACGGAGAGCCCGACGTAATGGGCGAGCCGGTCGTGGCAGAGCCGCAGGAGACTCTGAAGACAGGAACCTCGAGCGGCCAACGAGAAGCGACGAGACGACGCTCCCCCGAGTATGAGCGGAGGGAAACCATGACGGATAGACACAGGGACGACAGGCGAGAGAGTTCGAGGAGTTGGAGGGGCAGAGATAGAGATAGAGCACCGCCGCGGCGTGTCTTCGACCTCCAAACGGGGGAATCACACCCGCTCCCTTACGAGAGCAAGGATCGCTATATTATTACACACAAGGGCTCAGAGCCTCATACTTTCAGGGGTTATCGCGTCACAGAATATCTGGAGAAGTGGGAGCTTCACGCCAGCCGGAGTCAGTGATCGGAGGAAGAGATTATAGAGAACTTCCTATTTAGTGTGGACCCAAGTTTCGGCAAGGAAGTCAAGGAAACCCGACCGAAGGATGGGAAATGAACTACGTACAAAAAAAATCTCGTTGAGTTTTACAAATTGGAGGATAACAAGTACTCCATCAAGGACCTTGAGACAATGACTCAAGATGAAGATGAGAGCGTACGGGCATTTGGGATGCATTTCCAGAAGATCTCCGACGTGCTGATAAAGAWGGGGAAGATCTCAGAGGTCGAGCGCTGTACTATCTTCATCGGACACCTGTCCAAAGGTAAACAAAAGAGTATACTTAGAGATCTTCCGCGCGACAAGCTTGACTTCCCAGAAGTCCTAAAGCTCGCAATAAAGGCAGAGGCAGACGATTACAAGGACTTGGTGTGGAGAGGGATGAGGAGACGTGACTTCTCTCTCTACAAGGAATATGCCACTGAWAGATGTCCTGATTTCAAGGACTATCCCTGGTCGGAGAAAAATGAAGTCGTCGCCGAGGAAGTGAAGAAGATAAGGGACATAGTAAAGGGATTGACAAGACAGGTTACAGAGATTGTGACCACCACAGGAGCCACGACATACCGGGACAAGCCCGAAGGACCCTATTCACTTCGCTGGGACCGGAGGAACACTGATTCCTGGAGGAGTGTTGAGGATAGAAATCCTCGAACGCTGACTGATTACCGTGCGAGGGAAAGGGAGAAAGACGATGAACCATGGCGACGTAAGGATGATGAGATAGACCGGGACCGCAGGACTCGCGAGACGTATGGGCGTGCTAGGAGACTGGATGACTACTCGCGTAGCCCTCGCTATGAGCCTGACGGGGGTAGAGGCGACTCTCGAGGCCGGTGGGAGTCGGATCAGGGCCGGCGAGACGGATACAGGGATGGTAGATATGCGAGATTGGACCGAGATGGACGTAGGGACGACATATATGAGAGATCGGACCGAGATGGACATAGAGACGACAGATATGAGAGGTCGGATCGAGACGGATACAGGGGCGGCAGATATGAGAGAGGAGATCGACCCGATGATTCACGCGGGCGATACGATCGAGGAGACCGACGTGATGATTCACGCGGGCGGTACGACCGAGGAGACCGACGTGATGATTCACGCGGGCGATACGACCGAGGAGACCGACGTGATGATTCACGCGGGCGATACGAACACGGAGACCGCCGCAATGATTCGCGCGGAAGGAATGAGAGAGGGGGATATGACGCTTCTGCAGAACCGTATCCGAAGTCCCCTGACCCTAGAGCAGCGAGAGGTTCGACCTCCAGAGGCGCAGACGACAAGCCACCCATACCCAGGAACTATTGCGTTTACTGTAGGGGGGATGATCATATCAAGAGAGATTGTCCGGATCTCAAACGGGCAATAGATGAAGGACTTGTCGTGCTTGATGACCGCAAGTACGTCAAGTGGGCATATGATCTAGGAGATGTATCGATGTTCCCTTCGATGAAGGAGAATGTCGAAGCAAAGAGAGTAAAGTCGAGTAAAGGAAAGAAGTCGGTTAGGAGCCAGAGCATCAAGATAACTTTCGAAGGAGATATGGCAACCACACCCATAAGGGTGGCAGCTACCAAGTCCGCGAGAGGGTCTATATCGAAGAAGACCGACACGGATTACGTGATGGCGGAGAAGGACGGACAGCGGAGCGATGGAGAGGAGGTTATTCTTTCGCCGCGAAAACGGGGAGTGAAAAAGTTTTTAATGAAGAGTTCGCTGGATGAGATTGACACGGTCGAGTCACTGAGACGGGCCCTTCGGCAGCCCATGCAGTGCTCTATTCTGGAGTACCTGGCGGCATCGAAGCCGGCTCGCGATGAGTTACAGATGATCACGCGGAAGACTCGTATACCTCTATCAGAGGAGGCTCAGGGGGCCCCTACGGCGGAAACTCCTACAGTAGCAGTAACAAGGGTGACTGCCAGAGCAGATCGCATGGCGACAGTCCTTCTTGACGGGATGGAAGGTGTGCCTCCAGACAAGTTTTACATACTTGGTAGTGGGGCCGTGGAGGCGATCATAAACGACGGGGCGGTACTAGATGCTGTGATCGATAACGGCAGTGAGGCTGTCATTATAGACGAGGATCTGGCAGTACAGGTTGGACTGGGCCTCGATAGGTCATAACTATTCGAGATGGAGACGGCTGATGGGAGAAAGCAACAGATCACCGGGGTTTCTTACAAGGCAGCTATAGAAGTCCAAGGAGTGCGAGTGACCCTTCCTGTCTTTGCAGTCAAGAACTGCAGCTCCGATTTGCTCTTGGGACGAACATGGTTGAGCCACGTGCACGCGGTGACGATAGAGCGACCAGATGGGAGCCAGACATTGTCCATTAAGAAGCTAGATGAGACGCGGGTTATGATTGAGACAGTGGAGCCTCGGGACCCGAGGAACAGAGCAGCTCTTGTGTGGGTGCAAGACCAAGTGATCAGATTAAGTCATTACCTATCTCTGGCCGCGCGGTGCGATTTCGCGAGAAGAAGTATGGACCACTGCTCACAGAGGAGGAAGGTCGGATCGTGGAGGTGGAAGATTTAGGGAGTCGGCTGATAGTGGACGGCAACTCATACCCAAAGGAGACAAATGAGGAATTTGGCGGTGTGGTATCTGTGTCTTTTTTAAGGGCACGGTCCCCTATGGGGGGCTACCCCAGCGACACAAGCGAGTAGCTCAAAAAGTTCAGCCAGCGGCGGTGGGCCGCGAGCGATCTGCACTGGAAGGGATACCGAAAGAAGAGATCGCAAAGGAAATCAAAGAAAGAAAGAAAAAGGAGCCGCAACGCCTAACGGAAGAGAGAATAACAGGGATGGACATTGGAGATGGAAATCTGACCCCACAAGAGCGAGAACGTGTGATAGAGATCCTAAAGACGTGCGATAAGGCTATAGCCTTCAGCGACGCGGAGCGCGGTAGGGTTGACCCTTGATACGCAAAGCCAACAAGGATTTACACGATTCCATATATTCCTTGGAATGACGCAGAATGAAAATACGCCCAGAAGAAGAAGGCAGAAGTTATCGTTTTTCTGAAAGAAAAGATGGTTTCCCATATTGCGGAGCCGTCTGATAGCGCCTATGCTAATCGATGGTTCTTCCTACGAAATCCGATGGATCTAGGACCTTCAGAAGGTCAATGCGGTGACGATACGAGACGTGGTCTCCGTGCCGCACGCCGACTTACTGGCCGAAGGCGCTGCAGGCAGGTCGATTTATTCGGTCTGTGATCTGTTCTCAGACTATGATGAGGTACCGCTTGATCCTAGGGACAGACACCTCACGACTATGCACACGCCGTTGGGACTGATACAGATGATGGTTGTCCCTATGGGTTGGACTAATGGGGTAGTCATTTTTGAGAGAGCCATGGTAGCCGTCCTCAAGGACTTCATCCCTGATAAGGTTGAAGTTTTTCTGGATGACTTTCCTATAAAAGGGCCAGTAAACAAGGATGAGACAGAGGTTGTACCATGAGTTAGAAGATTCGTCGAGCAGCACCTAACAGATTTTGCGTGGTACTTGAGCAGCTGGACGATGCGAATTTAACGGTCAGCGGAACAAAGAGCCGATGGGCCGTCTCGACTATTAAGATCTTGGGCTTTATCTGTGACTCTAGAGGACGCCGAGCAGATCCGGCGAAACTAGACAAACTCCTGAACTAACCGTCACCGTTATATAATCCAACCGAGGTCCGACAGTTTCTGGGAGTGATCGGTTACTGACGTATATTCATACGAGGGTATGCGGAGAAGGCTGAGTCATTGAGGTTACTCCTTTGAAAGACTGAGAAATTTTACTGGAATTCCTCACAGAAACTCGCTATGCAAGAACTTAAAGGCGAATTTAAGGAGGGAGGACGCGTATTGGGCGTGCCATTCTTTGATGATGAGGCTGGGAGACCCTTCATAGTATCCACGGATGCTGAACCTTGTTCAGTAGGTGGATTGTTGTCTCAGAAGGACGCTGGAGGGAAGGAAAGACCGTTAAGATTTGAGAGTAGAACACTTAATACGGTTGAGCGTAACTACAGTCAATTCAAGAAGGAAGTGTTAGCTGTTATGCGGTGTCTAGACACGTTCAGACACTATATCTATGGGCGATGGTTCATCTTGAGAGTAGATCCTACCGCGGTTGCCTCTGTCCTCCAGAAGGACTTTAGCCTGACGGACCCGACCATCGCTCGATGGTTAATACGGATTCGGCTATATGATTACATAGTTGAGAGGATATCTGACACTAAAAATGCCGTGGTAGATGGGCTTTCGCGCATCCCTCTCGAGGCCGAGCGCCCGATAATAGCTGGAGCCCTGACAATAGCGGAGCCGAGACGCGTCGAGCGATTTCTGGTTAACCTTTACGAGGGCAAATACTGAACGATCGGGCTACATTTGTCAGAGGAGGAGAGTCAAGAATCAGATATCCAGAGACAAGCGGCGCAGTACTGCCTTAGAGCCGGTCATCTATCTCGAAGGCCCGTCGGCTCGGGGATGCCCTTACGAGTAGTCTGTGACCCTGAGGAGAGACAGATGATAGTTGCGGAGCTTCACGACGGGGTAGTCGGAGGACATAGGGGAGTAAAAGGGACCTACGAAAAGGTACGCAGGTTGTACTGGTGGGAAGGACAGTATAAGGACGTCGAGAGGTATTGTATGACCTGCGAGGAATGCCAGAAGAGAGTTCTTGTGAAATACAAAGAGCCTCTTCATCCATCCTATCCCACCAGACCAGGAGAGAAGGTACACATCGATCTGGTGAAGATGCCGAAAGGAGTAGGCAATATGAACTACGTCGTGAACCTACGAGACGATTTCACTGGGTTCGTGGACAGTAGACCTATCAGGAGTAAGACGGCAAAGGAAGTGAAGAACTTCATCATGGAGTACTTATCTAGGTATGGTTGTGTCAGCAAGATAGTGATGGATAGAGGGGCAGAGTTTCTAGTTGACGAGGTTCAGAGTGTGTTCAAGAGAGCCGGGGCGAGAGTTTCGATAACCACCGCCTATCACCCACAGTCGAACTCCTCAGTAGAGAGGGGCCACCAGACTCTGATAGCGTCACTGTCCAAGTGGTGCAAGGGTAAGGACAGTGATTGGCCACGATATTTTCGATACGCAATATGGGCGGACAACGTCACGGTCCGGGCTAGTACCGGATATCCACCGTACACCTTGTGGTTTGGGCGGCATTGTCCGCTCCCCATATAGTTTCACGTCGACAGTTGGACAACCGTCGACTGGGCGGAGGAGATGTCCAGAGAGGAACTCATAGCTGCCCGAACAAGACAAATAGCCTACGGTTTGGAAGATAACCTTATGATAGCGGCATATCGTCTAGCAGTGGAAATGAACAAAGGTAAAGAGAGATGGGATAAGAACGTGAAAATCAGGAAAGAGAGGGTGAGCGTAGGAGATATGGTCCTTCTCTACGACGCAGTACTGGAAAGGACCTGGACCGGAAAACTCGCCAACAGATGAATGGGACCTTACAGAGTGGTTGAGGCACTCGACTGGGGTGCATATATGATAGCAGAATTGGACGAATCCAAGTGGAAGGACTCAGTGGCGGGTGCTAGGTTAAAGCTGTTTAGACCCAGGCCTGCACCCACCTTATCACTGACGAGCCCGAAAGGGAAAGGAAAAGCCAAAATGGAGGATGGATTCCCCTTGAGACGATTCGAGGCAGGGGAAAGTTCCAAGAAGAGAAAAAGAGTGGAGAGAAGAAAGGTTAAAGGGTTGGCATTAGGGAGAGAGAAGAAATGGTTATTCGTGATCAGGAGGGCCAGACGGATAGTCCGCATTAGACAAACTGGCGGGACGGCACCCTTCTCGGGCCAACGACAGAAGAAAAAGAGGGACGTGCCAAGGCCAAGAACCCGAAGAAAAAGGAAAGTCGAGAAGCATCTTTATAGTCCCAGGACTCATAACAAACCAAAACTTAAGACGATTAAACGCCGACGTGGACATCCTTTACGGGCAATCACCCTGAAGCTCGTCCGCTTCGTTTGACGTCAGTGGATAGGGCTCGATGGGAGCGTCGAGAAGTAGTCCGGGCCAGCTGTCAGGCGGCCACAAGCAGTGCGCCGCTTGAAATCCGCAACTTTGAGGCTTTGGCTCAGGGGCAAGTCCGTGTTTTGATCGTACTCTGGTTCGACTGGACAACAAAAATTAGGAGAACTTTTGACCCCCCTGACTTTGGGCACACTGAACCTTACGAGTAACACTCTGAGATAGCGAGATGGGTGGCCGCACTCGGCACGTCTAGGGACCGTCATTTCCGGCCGTTCAAAGGGTTAGACCCGGATTGGCCTGCCGCAGAGAGGCATCGTGGGAACAGACCTTGCCGCAAAGTTTTGCAGCATATGACAGGGGTCGAAATGAGACCTCAAATTTTTGACTATTTTAGTACCATAATTAGAGATGGGAAAAAGGGATTGAGACCAGTAGGGGAGAAGGTAAAAATATAATATTTCCTAATTTTTTTATTTTGCACGACATTTAAATCTAAGGGGGGAAAACCCTTGTATTTTATGATCCCGACAATGAATTTAAAAACGCAAAAAGAGACTTAAAAATGGAAAAAGAGAAGAGAAACAAAAAAAATTCGGCCATTTATTTAAACTATCTCGGAAATTGATTTTGGGGAACTTACGACTGATTTACTATTTCTGACAATAGAATTAAGAAAAAAGAAGAATGATTAAAAACAATGAAAGGAACGGGAACCCATGACTACTAGGAGATTGACCTGCTTTCGCCTCGATTGCCCGTCATCAGTTCTGACCCCGGATTGATCATTTTCTTTGGATTCTGACAGTTTTTCTTTACTGCCGATGGTTGAGATTCCCTGCGACGCTATCCCTGGTTTGCCTGATTACTAACATTAACACAGTTGGGATGTTCTGGGAGCGGGAGTCGCATGGACAGCATGCGGTGGTGCTGCCTTGGGCTGACAGTTTGGTATTTGGCTTAGTACGAGTGCGGGGCTCGGAGAGATTCGGTACTAATACGGACTAGGTACATTCTACGGTATCCGGCGAGTGTCTGGTTCGGTATGGGCTCAGCATCAGAGTACTTCAGGGTTTGGTCACACCATCGAGATTTATTGTCAGGTCCGGGAACACCGCGACCATTTAATTCAGCTCTGGCACCACTACGGCGGTCTATATCAGGTT